AACGTAGATACATTATCCACGTTATCTGGATAACGTAGATACATTATCCACTTTATCTGAGTAAGGTAAATACATTATCCACGTGGTTGGGATATCGTAGATACATTATCCACGTGGTTGGGATATCGTAGATACATTATCCACGTGGTTGGGATATCGTAGATACATTATCCACGTGGTTGGGATATCGTAGATACATTATCAACGTGGTTGGGATATCGTAGATACATTATTCACGTTATTTGGACAACGTAGATACATTATCCACGTTATCTGGATAACGTAGATACATTATCCACTTTATCTGAGTAAGGTAAATACATTATCCACGTGGTTGGGATATCGTAGATACATTATCCACGTTATCTGGATAAAGTAAATACATCATCCACGTGGTTGGGATATCGTAGATACATTATCCACGTTATTTGGATAACGTAGATACAATATCCACTTTATCTGAGTAAGGTAAATACATTATCCACGTGGTTGGGATATCGTAAAAACATTATCCACGTGGTTGGGATATCGTAGATACATTATCCAGGTGGTTGGTATATCGTAGTTACATTATCCACGTGGTTGGGACATCGTAGATACATTATCCACGTTATCTGGATAACGTAAATACATTTTCCTCGTAATCTGGATAATGTAAATACATTATCCACGTTATCTGGATAACTTAGATACATTATCCACGTTATATGGATAACGTAGATACAATATCCACGTTATCCACGTCATCTGGATCGTACATCCTTAATAACATAAATGGCAAGGAACTAGAATGGCAACTCTGGCCATTAAAGTTACGGCATCAGCAACAGAAGTTGATTATTCCACACACGCACACCACCATAGTAACCAAACGATGGTTGGAGAATCGCACAAAAATTGTAAACTAACTACACACCACAACAAATCCCGACAGAATGCAAATATATGTACGTGTTTTAGATCAATCATCGATGCTAAGTGATCCTCACTGGTTTGTGAGAAGTTAGACGTGGAAGGGCAGCAATGCTGTTGGTGCGAATGAACCGCAGAATTCTTTTTCTTCGCTGCCTCAAGAACTTCTGCAACAACTCTACATAAAAGAAGTACTATGAAGGTTGGTAAAATCCGTTGCAAGTTTTAATGGCCCTTGGTATGGGATTCAATGAGGGAGCAATTTACTTAAATTGGTAGCCGTAAAAACGATGAGACAAAATTGGCAAGAGTTTCAGAGGGTGATGTTGGTGGGAAGACTTAAATGATATTAGGGCACTCCACAAATTGAAATTGAATTTGCCATCAAATTTCAGGATATAGTGTTTAAAAATGTGGAATTGTCACAAATTATTTAGCGTTTTCTTAGTTTACTGAGTCCAAAAGTTCTTCAAAAGAAATTTAAAAATATATCCCGCCACCCTATAGGGTAGCCGAAAAAAACACCCAACCATAAAGAATTCAATTCGCATCTCCATGACTAAGTCAACGAAAAGGAATTGGCGAACAAATAAAACGAACAGCAGCAGCCGCAGGAACAGCAGCAACATCATCATAAAACGCATCTTCAGAGTAATGAGAAGCAGGTAGCAACAGGTTCCGTATTAATCATTTATTAAATAAATTGGTTTCCAACACACCAACCAAAAAAAAGAGGATCGTATAACAGAATTTTCATTGCGAAACGTCAGTGGCTGGACATCGAGCGGCGTCCAGCCATGCATTTCACATAACCCATTGTATCAATCTCGTCGTCGTCGTCTCAGGCTTCATGCCAACCAAGTGTGTATTTTTATTTCGAAAGTGAAAAACGAATAGGCATCTATCCCGAAAATTACATATGTATCTGAGAGTTTCAAAAACAAAATGACGTTTATCTTTCGAACATTAGGCACTGAGCCTCAGTTACTGAGGTCAATTGTTAAGTTGAGAGATTCATATTTTTTGTTGCAATGAAAGAGAGTGTTATACAAAAGGTGAAGTGGTGGAGAGTAGTTCAAACAAAAACTCAATTGAAGTGCAGCAATAAAGATAGTGTTGCCACATAGTCTGAGGAATTTAGTACCCATTTTAAAAGAAATAAATATTAAGAATTGGACAGAGAAAATTAAGAACTCTAATCCACATAATTCTCAAAGACCAAAGAAGCAATAATACACCTATATATAGAATTCTACCATTGCATATGTTTCGAGATAATTTAACTTAGCTCTAAGAACCCGAAATGCCAAATTACAGCTAATTCTTTGGAAATTTGGTCCGAACCATTAAAAATTCCTTAAATCAGAAAATAACGTTGTTATATGGGGACAGTAAGTGGACATATATCGAATATTTTCTACGGGGAGTTTAACAAATAACTCAGAAATCAAAACGTAAAATTGCTGCTGATTTGGTTGGAAATGGGACCGAAACCTATATAAAGTCGAAAATCAAAAATAATATTATATGGGGGACTTTACCACAAAAAAGGACCCACATTTAATATGTTTGCATTTGAATACGGATAGCGTGAACATTTTACCCACGTCATCTGGATAACTTGGATACATTATTCGCGTTATATTAAAAACTGTAAAATCATACATATATGTCATATAGAACGATACGAATAGCCGATATAGCCCAACTATGCCCAACTGCGATTATGGAAAATATTGGCCTGCTGCTTTTCGTACCTATCCCCAAAAAGTGAACAAATAGTTGAGTAAAACATGAAATCAGTTTTTGATTTTCTTTAAACTTCTCATTCCTAAGAAGATTTAATTAGGTCTCTGAAAAATCATAACTCTCACAAAATGCATAATTATTCTCTAGTTCTCCTCAACATGGTGTACGTCCAATCTTTATGTATGACCCCAAAAAAGTATGCAAGGTGAGATGAGAAAACTGCAACCAACTTCAGACTGCTGTCATTTCTAAGCCACTCGTCCGACAGCTGTTAAAATTATTCCAGTGACAGCTCATTATATAGTTTAAAAGGATACAAAAGCATTTTGGTGAGAATTTTCCAGAAAAAAATTATTCGTGATGGAATTCAAGCGTGATAGTGTGATTTTTTTATATTTGGCTGGAAAACCACAAGTGGCTATCGTTAGAGCACTCCAGCATTTAAATGTGAATAAATCGTTTGTGTCTCGTACCATCGCTCTGACGTCAAGGAAGTGGACGGAAGAAAACAGCAACATCAGCAGAAATGGTTCGAAAAGTACAGATGCGACTTGTTCGAAATCCGCGTTGCAGTGGCCAAAAAATTGCTCGTGAGCTGAACCTATCGCAATATTCCATTCGGTAAATATTGAAAAAAGAGCTTGGAGTAAAGCCATTTAAATTCCAAAAAGTGCAAGAACTTACACCGCAACTGAAAGAAAATAGACTCAAAGAGCTAAAGAGTTGCTTCACTTGGCCGAAAATGGTGAACAGCCGAATCTGGTTTTTTTCCGATAAGAAAAAATTCTTTGTCCAGCAGTTTTTAAACAAACGAAATGATCGTGTTTACTTGCAAAGAATTCAGCTGAAAATGTGCACCTTCGGTTGGCCACCAGAACGCAAACACTTTAGCCGCAGACCATGGTCATTCCGCGCCACCCAAGAATGGTTACAAAATAAGGTTCCTCGTTTCATTTCCAGCGCACAATGGCCACCAAAATCTCCAGATTCCAATCCGTTGGACTATTGTGTCTGGAGTATTTTGGAAAGCAAGGTTGGTACTAAAAAATACCAACGTGTCGATCACCACAAGCAAGCGCTTCGCCGGGAATGGGCCAAAATACCGCAGAGCAACATTCGGACCGTTTGAAGGCTAAATTTTGTGCCAAAGGTGACCAATTCGAACCAATCTAAACTTATTCTAAAATTTGATGCTATTCCCTACATTTTTTGCTTTCATTCAATAAAATTTATAAAAATGTAAAAATTATGGCGTTTGACTTTGTTGTAGTTTTTTTATCTCACCCTGTATATGGTGTTTAGTGCATCAAATATATGAAATCGACCGAAATTATATATGAGAGCTATATCCGAACCTCAACCAATTTCAATATAATTTGGCAATTTTCTTTGTACTAAATTCCCTCACTTATTTCAAACTTCATTGGAATCAGACATACATATCATGTTTGGGGCATCAAATATGTGAAATCGGCCGAAAATATATGTGGGAGCTATATCCAAACCTGAACCGATTTCAATATCATGACGAAATTATTTTTGCTCCAAATTCCGTTATGCACTCCAAATTTGAAGACTATATCTGTAATCGATCCATAGTTATGTGCATACAAAAATTAAAATTTTTTGAGATACCTCCGATTCTTATGCTATATCTTGCGTTCCAAGTGGAATTTCAAAAATTTACATATCCTATGTTACTTTCAGATTTTCAGGAAAACCTTTTCAGCAGTTTTTTAGTTTTTAAATTACAAACAAACAATCAAACGCACACACATTTTACTTGGCAGAAGAATACTGGTAGAGTCATCAACCTTTGGGACATTGATATGTCAAATTTTTTTTTTCAAATATAAGTAGATTTTTATATGTTTTCTTATATGACGTCATTCGGAGGTTATTATAATTCGCGTTTTTAAACAATTTTTACGAATTTAAATAATTTTTCATTCAACATTTTCAATTCCAAAATTGGTTTGACAGTTCATTGTCCCAGCGGCTGTGCACATTTTCCTTTAATCTATCCAAACACGAACACGCTCAAATATATTTTAGAGGTGGCAACCCTTTATCGTAACCACGACGACCACTTTTGTTGGTACCAATCAGATAGCATGGGACCAAGCTGCAGTTCAGAATTAGTATGAAGCTAAAACAAATTGAGATTTAATTCGGTATGTGTTATAAATCAGAGAACAAGAGAGCACTCCAAAGAGAGTGATAGTGTGGAATTTAAGAGAACACCCTTTACAGAAGAGAAGAGAAGCGAAGTTAAAACATGTGTGTTCGAAACTTCATCATTTTTTTTTTTTTGAAACGAGATTTCAGCTAATCAGGCAGCTAGAGTTTGGGGGAAATTTGTGTATGGCAGTTTTAGTTGAAACGGCGAGTAGATCGGTGGCATGCGAAGTTGGTCCACGCTTAGGCGGATTTATGTGAATGTGTAGAATTTTTTGTTTGTTTTATTTACTGAATGGTGTGTTGAATTTCATGTAACAAAAATAATTTGCATTGTATTGCATATAAGAAGAGAAAAAGTAGAAAAAAAAAAAAAACAAAAACGAAAGAATATAAAAAATAAAAGTGAAAAAAAAAACGGCAAAACCCTTTGGGAAAATAGGAAGAAGTAAAAAACGCAGCTGCTTGCCATTTAAATGCATGGGGGGATTACACAGCAGAGCAAAAATCGTGATATTGAAAAAGAAGTGTGAGAGAGTGTGGATTTTTGCAAGGCAAAGTAGGTACAACAGCAAAAACAACAGGGCGACAATAAAATAGCAGGCTTGTTGTTCTTGTTGTGTGTAATCACCCAGCAACCACCGGGGAAGAGGACCTTTACCTCTACCACCACAGCATCATATTCACTGTTGTTCACTGCCACAAACAGCAGCCAGTTGCAGTTGGTAAGACAGGCAGCAGCCAGTAGTGGCACCATAGTCATCTGCTCTGACATACCTACCTAGCTACCCATCGAACAACCGACCAACCAACCTACCTTTCCTACGTGGAGAGCGGCAGAAAAACACCAGCAGCCGTTTAAGTAGCATCAGACATTTGCAACAGTAGTTAGAAGCGCGACGTCAGAAAATTTATTTGTTTTAACATTTTTTGTTGGTTCCGTTTTGTTACACTCTCCGTCGTTTCTGTGGTGTTTTTTCTCTCTCCATGTGTTTGTTTCAAAAGTGCAACGGTGCATGAAAAAGTGCATAAACCTCCGTATATATTTTATTTGTGTATTGTTTATTTTGCTGAGCGTTAACATTTTTTTTTATTTCGAAACAAGCTTGAGTTGAAAAAAAAATTGAAATTAATTTTCTAAATTGAAGCCAGCGCGTGATGTTGACGACGGCGACAACGACGATGATGATTAACCGCAAACAAATCCAGCACAAATGACAGAAATAAATTTTATAATAATATTGCAATAATAACAGTAACAACAAAAAGGTTTTGAAATAACAAAAACAAAAATAATAACAAGGTGAGCAAAAAAAAAAAGTTGTAACAAAAACAAAACAAAAAAACGAAATGAATAATTGCTGAGTCTAAAATAAATCAAAACGAAATATTATTTGAATTTCGCAAAAAAAAACAAGCGGTAACGAATTTTGGCAATATTGGATTGTCTGTCAAAATAATAAATTTCGAAATAGTTAAACGACCGACTCTTAATTACATGGGCTATAAAAATGGGCAATTGATCTGTTCCGGAACTTGCTAAAAATTAAAAATGTTACTACCATAACCGATTTTTCCTTTTGAACGATTTTTATAAAAAACTGGGGTAAATAGGGCTTCAAGGCTTAACTCATGGTAGAACAGCATCTTAAAACCACAGAAATGCAGCATTGAGGCTATGGCCGCTTTTTGTCAGAATTATTCAGAATTACATGCAACAAGTTGTTTTCATTTTTTTTGATAGTTTTTTCTCAAAATTAGTTAAAAAGCGAGAAAAATGAATGAAATTCCAAGATTTGTTATTCAAATATTTCTTCTCTTTTTGGCACGAATTATGGCCCTCAAACGGCCAATGAAACCGTCACACGCTGCCCGAATGTTGCTCTGCGGTATTTTGGTCCATTCCCGGCGAAGGGCTTGCTTGAGGTGATCGACACTTTGGTATTTGTTAGTGCCAAGCTTGCTTTCCAAAATACTCTAGACACAATAGTCCAATGGATTGGTCTCCGGAGATTTTGGTGGGCATCGTGGGCTGAAAATGAAGCGAGGAACCTCATTTTGTAATCATTCTTGGCCATTGTGCGTTGAAAATGAAGCGAGAAACCTCATTTTGTAATCATTCTTGGGTGGCGCGTGCTGAGTCCTGTTGGAATGTCCAGGGTCTGCGGCCAAAAGGCTGCCCAAGGCTTAAATACTCCCGATAATATTCGGCATTTATTTTGATGCCACGGTCGATTAATACGAGCGGAGAGCGATCATCGGCTGTGATGGCGGCCCATACCATCACCATGGCCGGCGCTTGAGTTCTGGTGGCCAACCGAAGGTGCACATTTTCAGCTGACCTCTTTGGCAAGTAAACACGATCATTTTGTTTGTTTACAACGGAGAAACCCACATTCGACAGTTCACCACTTATGAGTCTATTTTGGAATTTCAATGGCTTTACCCCGAGCAAATGTTGCAATGTTTGCCGAATGGAAAATTGTGATATGTTCAGCTCACGAGCCATTTTTCAGCCACTGCGACGCGGGTTTCGAGCAAGTCGCTTCTTTACTTTTCGAGCCATTTCTGCTGATGTTGCTATTTTCTTTCGTCCACTTCTTTGACGTCGGGCAACGCTACCAGTACCATGGTAACGAGCGATGGACACAAAAGTTTTTTTCATATTTAATTTCTGGAGTCCTCTAACGATAGCCACTTGTGGTTTTCCAGCCAAATACAAAGAAATCACACTATCACGATTGAACTCCATCACGAATAACTTTTTCTCTGGAAAATCCTCACAAAAATGAAAATGGAAATTGACAAAGGGTGGCTGGCCTTTGGTCGGTGTTTTCAGACTTCTACCCATGGGAAGAATACAACAACCAGTATGCGATTAGATCTTCCATAAACTTAGGAAATTTCCGGCACTTGAGCCGAAATTGACAACTTTCACTCATGTAGAAATTCGAATATCGACCAAGCCTCATTGTAGTCCGAATCCATTTAAAACTCTGGTCGCCTTGAAAGCCATATTGGCCTCGCTGGATTCGAAATGGTAATAGGGGCATTAATTAGTAAGCAAGTGGTTCATAACGATTCTGTTGGCTTATTTTGTTTTAATATTGGTTTTACCACACACCAGTACCCTGTTGTCCTTGTTTACTAAGTGATTCATCAAATCCTCCGTTCATTTCCGTTACCATCATGATTTTGTTAAAAAAAAACTCAAGAGAAATCTTCATCTCTTATACGTTGGGCGCCACAAAATGTTTCATATTGTATTTCTGTCAACATGGGTGACCAGACCTGATTTAATGCCAACTGGTCTTTAATATCCTTATCACAATTTATTTTCTTTTGATATTTTACCAAAAGCCAAGAAAGAGTTTTTTACGTTGGACGCTATAAAATGCTTACCACCTGTTGTGATCCTACCCATTATTTTCAGAAAATATTAATCGATAAATGAGGTTTACCACAATCATGAGCCATAATATTCCACTTTTAAAAGGGACCGACTTTAAATTCTGCTCTCCTTCTAGAACAGTTATCCTTTGTGCTTCCTTTCTTGTGTTCTTGTGCCATAATATACCAAATTTAGAATGAGATTTTATGTGGAGGTTTTTATATTTATCTAGAAAAGCATTACCTCCCCCAAAGTGGCCAGATCGGTGTTACAATATAGTCTTTTTTTGTCTTTTCCACGTTGGGCGCTACCAAGCGATTTTAAATTGTCTACATTGGTGACTAGCCATTATTCATCATATCACCATACAAAATAGTGGTCCTAACTGCTGCTTTAAATAGATTCTTTCATACTTCATATATTGTGTTGCCTTAAAGGGTAACTAAGGGTAAGGGTTCGACCAAAAAAAAAATATTATTTTTTTGGGTGGAATAAAACCTTTAATACGTTGGGCGCCACAAAATTGTGTAAATTTCTGTTGCTGTATCGGCACCCTTACATGTTTTTTAGAAAATATATATTTTAGAAAAAATAAGTATTATAAATTAGTACCGCACACATCGACTATTTTACAATCAGATTTCTCAATGGGGACTCTATTGTGAAAATGTTCTATACTCCTGAAACAAAATGGTTATTTGGGAAAAGTTTATACTTTAATTTACAGAGTTTCATTGGGAAATAACTCATCTTTTAAAAGTAGGGCGCCACTGAAGATGAATTATTTTTTAAAACTTTAAGTTACAGAGTTTCATTAGAAAAATAACTCATCTTTTAAACGTTGGGCGCCACTGATAGCCACTGGACATGAATTATTCCCCAAAACTTTCCCTACCGGCCAAAAAATTGACCCATATTTATGTTTCATATTTGCCGGCATTTGCAGTAGCAGGAAAAATCTGAAAATTTTTAGGTTCCGTGAAGGAATTGTTTGAACTTCGTCAAAAAAAAATTCATTATATTCTATTTCTTTGTACGATGTTGAAATGCAAACCATTTTTGAGCATCAGTTAGAAATACCCATTCTCATTTTTCTAATATTTAGTAACTATCAAAAATCGATGGGAAATTTATTCTGATTTACTCCTATAGCTTTTTAAAAATCCTATTTTTATAGATGAAGTCAGAGTGCCAAATAAAAAAATAAATTTTTTCGCATTCATTGTTCTCAGATCAACAGAATTTTTTTTTTGAAAATTTTCATTTACATAAAAATGGCTTTGTTTGCCAAATTTGTTGTCACACTTGTCTCCACACGAAAGAAGAACGAGAAAAAAAAAAAACAAATCAAACAAATTAATTAAAAACGATTTTAAAAGAAATGATCATTGAAAAGCAAAATCCACTGAATACAAGATTATCTAGTTCGCTATTAGGCCGCCTATATTACAATAATGGTTGTTGGCGGTGGCCAATACAAAATGAAACCAGCTAAAGACGGCAGCCACTCGCAGAAGTAGAAGTAGCAGCAGCAACAGAAGAAGAAAATTATTTCAAAGTTGAACCGGAGTTATACATTTAACATTAAACCACTACTGGGGACCGAACGACCGACCAGGCTACATACATACATTTATATATGGCTACATAAAAAACAAGACAGCCAGATAGACAGTCAAGAAGTTAGTTTGCCCAAACGACCGACCGATTGACTGACGACCGGGCAGCAGGCTACCACCGTACTTTGAAAATACCTTAAAACCAGTTTGTAAAACAAAAACAGCGACAACAACACTAAATGTAATCAAAATTCAAATGTATACAACAAGATTTTTGAGAAGAACAACAAAAACGAAATTGGAAAAAGAAAGAAAGAAATACACAAAAAAGAAGAAACTATGAAAACGAAACACACGCCATCCAGTCAGCCACCAAGAGCCAAAAAGATAAAATGGAAGAGTAAATAAAAGAATAAAGAAAAGTATTGTTTAAATTTCATTCTTTTATGCACTTCTTGGGGTTCTTTTACCTGAGAACTCTTCTTTGTTTAACACACATACACTCACACACACATACTGCAGTACAACATAACTTGTATTATCATCGAAGAGAGTTTAAGTCTCTCTTTGGTTTTTCTCTTGTGTCGCAGAATACAACAGACAAGATAAGAGGAACCGGTACGAACAGTGTTGCCAACACTTAAGGAATACAATTTAGTGCTCAATTTGCAATTTGTTTTGCCGACAGATGTATATCCTCAGCTATGACAGTTTATGAGGTGCCAGATATAGTGGACCACATGATCTAAAATTGATAAAAATATTTGGATGAAAAAAATTTCAAGAAAATCAGACATCGATTACCATCTTTTTTATTTATAATTGTTAATTATAATTTGAACCTTCTGTGGAGGAGGTAGGGGAAAAAGTGAGCCGATAAATTCTATATCTCCTGTTAAAAATATGAAGAAGGATCAAGTTTTAAAAGAACCGCCGAATTGTTTCGCCAGTTATGAGAGATATAAATATTGAAAATTGCGACTCTTTGTGGGAGAGGTACCATAAGGGGTAGGCCGATCTATATCATCTTCACACCAGATCTTGCATTAGTAAAAATATTGGAATACGCGAAATATGAAGAGATTCAGATGCATATTTCGCATTTTATAAGAGTCATGAATATTCAAAATTTCGACCCGATGTGGGACACGTGCCAGAAGGCGTGGTCCGATATATATGCCATCTTCACACCTAATATTTCGTTGATAAAAATATTGGGATGTGCCGAGTTTGACATTTAATGAGATGCTCGTTTCGCGATTTATGAGCTTCATGGTTATTCAAAATGTTGTGGGGGATGTAGCAGAAGTAGTTGGTCGATATCTACTATCTTCACACCAGAACTTGTGTTAATAGAAGTAATGGGATGCGTGAAATTTTAGGACAATCGGATGCTTATTTCGAATTCTATGACAGTTGTTTCTATTCAAAATTTAGACCGGTTGTGAGGGAGGTACCAGAAGAAGTGGTCCGATTTCTACCTTCTTAATAACAGATCTTTTGTTGATAGAAATATTGAGATGTGTTAAGAATGGAATGGAATCGGATGTTAATTACGTGTTTTATGAGCTTCATGGATATTCAAAATTTTGACCCTTTGTGGAAGAAAGGAGGAGTTGGCCGATATATCCCAACTTCACAGCAGATCTTGAGTTAGTAGAAATTATTGGATGTGTGAAATATGAACAGAACCGGATGATCATTTGGGATTTTATAATCGTTTTGGTTATTCAAAACTTTGACCCTTTGTTGGGGAGGTACCAGAAGGAATGGTCCGATTTCTACCATCCTTACGAAAGAACTTGTGTTGGTAGAAATATTGAGATGTGCCAAGTCTGTATGAAATCGGATGTTAATGTCACGTTTCATGGACATTCAAAATTCAGACCCAGGGGGAGGTACCAGAAGGAGTGGACTGATATATTCCATCTTAACACCAGAGTAAAAATATTATGATCTGTGTAATTTGGAGACAATTGGACTCTTACACCACATTTTATATGAGTTATAGTTATTCAAAATGTTGACCTTTTATAGGGGAGGTACTTGATGGAGTGGACCGATACTGTCCATTTTCACACTTGGTTGGAGAAAAGGCGGATTATCCGTCCTCTTTATGTGCAGTAATTTTTTTTGAAAATTGAGTGGACCGATATTACCCACCCCCGAACTCGATCTAAGTTTGATAATAATATTACGATGTACCAAGCCAGACAGACATACGGAGGGACGGACATCGCCAGATCGTCTACAAATGTCCTGAACCGGATTTGGTCCAAGGAGAATATGGGTCTAAAACCGTTATTCGATGAGGCACATTTTGACCTTTCAAATGATATATACCCTCTCTAGCCATATGGCTAAGGGAACTCTTATGGCGCCAAGACTTTCTAGATAGGAGTTCTAACAATAAACCGAATATATAGAGTTGAACCAAACTTCGAGTTCAGATTTATGTCCGCCCGATATTTGCCACTTTCGCTCCTGAGACCTATAACATTTCTGGCCCTTCTTTGGAATGGTAATATTTTTGGTATTTTTTGAACATTTTACATGGAAAAGTGAATATTTTGCCAGAAGACCTTTAAAATACCCTTTTAGGTCACCCATTTATAAATGGCCTTTGAAAAACGATTCGAATGTATATTTTTTATTTTTTTTTTAAATATAAACTTGTCATTTCTATCACAATTTTTGAAAGTAGCTTCGAGCGTTTCTTTTGTAGGTCAACAACTTAACCCACCACATCTTTTATGATTTACTCCACAAAAAAATAGTTTTTTTGTTTTATATTTTTTTTATTTCTTTACTTGATTACTCATTACAAGTGGCTTTTGGTTTTTAGTTGGCATTGTTCTACAATTATTCTAGTTGATATTTATTATTTTTGTTTTTAGTTTTGGTTTCTTTTCATTTTTTTAGATTGTTTTGATTTGTGGTCTTCGTCTTTTTTTCCTTCTCCCCGATAATGTAAAGTAGTTGGAAAACTAGGTTTTTAGATTTTAAAGCCGCCCAGCTGGAATTATTATTTCAATGTAAATCTAATAAAAAAAACCACTGGATGAGTCTAAGTGGTGAGTCTGGTCTTATCGTTAAAATTTTAAAGCAGGAGACTACAAAAAGAAACAAATGTGAGAGAAGAATAAAAAACAAAAACATAAACAATTGTGACGTGATTTTATAGTAAAATGAAAGTGAAAGGGGAGGCTGTGAGGAAGTTAAAGTTAATTTTGTAAAAAAACACATATATGTCCTCATCAAGTGACCGATTACATGCATATATGGGTGTAAAGTATATAAAAATTCAGTATATTCTTGAACAATTAAAAACGATGTAAGTTCGACTGGGCCGATATTTTTACACCCTCCACCATATGAAAACTTGACTTATGACTAAATCAAAAATGCCGAAAAGAAAATGTATTGCTATATGGGAGTTATTCCCAAAAGTCGGCCTATATTGTACATGTTTTTGCAAGGAGTAAATTCGACCCAGAGAAACTCCGAAGTATCAACTTACTGCTTACTTGTTTTTAAATTGCGCCAAAACTCTTCAAAATAGAAAAACTTGAGAGCTACAATTATAGAAGGCTAAAAAAGGGCCAGAGTTCGAATTGGGGTGGAAATACTGAAAATCCGGTGGTGTCGTTTTATGGTGAGGTTCAAATATCTACTGATAATCCAAAATACCAAGTTACAACTGATTAGGGGCAGAAACCTTTGAAATATCGAAAATTAGGAGGTACCATTGCACGAGGGGCTATATATAAATGTGGATCCTTCCTGTTACAACATCATCATTTAATAACTCAACCTTTAATAGAGCTTTATTATGATAGGGTAGGTATCTCCGAGGAATAATTCAGGGCGAGGCAAACCTAATGATATATTTAATATTTTAATACGGAGATCTTGAAAAAAAACTTCCCTAAAACTACACGATTTTTTTCAGAAGGACACTCTAAATATTTTTAGAAAAAAAAATACGATTCTTGCCTAAGAAGTCCTTTTAAAAATACAAAGAAAAAAATTCTCTAAAAAAAGTGCTGGAATGGAATTCTTGACCAAAAATTCCTAAAAAATCTTGACATGTCCCAATATGGATCCTCCTTATATGGATCCCAATATAAGGCGGACGTAATAAGATGCACATAGATTAGGCCAAGTCGGAAAATTTGTTCGAACAATATATGATTCATTGGTTTTAAAGAATTAGATCATTTTTTTGGGAAGGTGGTACCAAAACAATTGGGCCTATGTTTTCCATTCAAAAAGTTCGCCTACATTTTTATATCCTCCACCTTGAAAAGGAGGGTATATTAATTTTTTCATTCCGTTTGTAACATTCCTAAATATTCGTTGTAGACCCCATAAAGTATATATCAAAAACCAGGATACAATTCTAAGCCTTTTTCTGTCTGTCTGTTGAAATCACGATGCAGCCCAAATTATTTGACGTAGGGCTTAAACATTTGGCACACAATTTATATTAGGCCTATGATGTTTGTTATTGAAAATGAGATATGTCGGTCCACATTTTGGAACAGCCGCCATATATCGATACCAGTACCACATTTTTTCATGGAGTTGTCAAAAAATTGGTATATGTAGATCATAATGGGTTCTAGCTCCGGTGGCGAAACATTGAATGTATAAGTATACGTTTTTGTATAGCCCTCATATAACAGTACCTCCCGATATTTGGTATTTTGATTATATTTGCCAAATTTTTCCACGGATTTGTCTAAAAATTTGTGTTTGTAGTTCATAATGGGTTCCAGCTCCGGCGGCAGGACATTGATAATTTAGGTTCAGGTTTTCACATAGCGCACATATAGCGATACCCATCAATAATTGGTATTTGATTTGGTAGATGCAATCCTTGAAGTATAAAATTGTCTATAGAGGTTACCATTTTGGTATGTGCCCCATGCAACGCTTGTTAAAAGCGTTACGACATGGATAAATCCTTGAAAATCCTTCAAAAAAATTCTTAGAAAATTATGATGTTTGATAAGGAGGTAACTTAAAAATTAATTAATTTTTGTCAAAAGGCTCTAGAAAACCTTTTTTTAAAAAATAAACAAAAATGCTCTTGAAATATTTTTTTAATCCACGATTTTAGGTTAGAGGGCCCTTTTCACGACTTCTAGTCACGATGTCCTTAAAAGTTTTTTTTTTATAAAAAATGCGTAGTCAAATTTTAAAAAAAATATTCTTGATCAGAAATTCCTTGAAATCAGGTGGTCCTTAAAAAAAACTCTCTGAAAACAGGGTTCTTGAAATATTTTTATTAAAAATTCGCGAGTTTTGTTTTGAGGGGCCTTAAATTGAAAATGTTTATTTAAAAAATTCTTAAAAATATCCATTTTTTCTGATTTTTTAATTCATGATCTATGTTGGCGGATAGTCCTTTTTAAAAATCCCAAATGCATGCAAATTTTTGATCAACACCTGAAAGTATGCTACATAAATACGAAAGAATCTACTTCCCTTATGAATTGGAAATAGGACAGTCACAGTCTACGATGCGATTTTAATTTCGTAAATCGAAGAATATAATTTTTAACCTAAAATTCAATTGCTAAAAGAAAAATAGAAATAAAAAATGGTAACATTAAATTACATATTACATATAACATGATGTGTAAATTTCAAATAATATTTCAAATAATATTTCGTTTAATTTTTTTTAAATCTTTTTCAAATTTTCTTTATAATTTTTCCTTTACTAATTTTTGTTTCTATTTTTTCTACCTTCTTCTTTTTCCAGCCAAGCAAGAGAGAATACACTCAGCTTCTAAGAAGTTGCTTATAGTACATATTTATAGAAATTTAAGGATTCTGCCGGAGCAAACGAAAGGCAAAGCAAAGGATTCTATTGTGATTTAGTTATAATCGAAGTCAAACTCCATACTAAACTACAAAACCAGGACAAAATCAAAACACCTCCAAAATGGCAGTGTTTGGTATGGTATCGGCCGTTTCCGGCTTTATAAAAATCCGATATCTTCTGGACAAGGCGGTCATCGATAATATGGTGTTTCGTTGTCACTATCGGATAACAACGGCCATATTGTTTGTCTGCTGTATTATTGTGACGGCCAATAATTTAATTGGTAAGTAGATGAGAGACAAAAAATATACAAAAAAAAAAATAAATAAATAAAATAAAAAAATTAACACAAAAATAAACAGTAATAATTCAAATGCATAGACTAAAGTTAATATGCATATGTAAATTTTAATGTAAATAAATTGATTAACAATGAAGCGAAAGAAAAAAACAATCAATATGTCGATGAGCTAATTAATTTCTTCTTTATTACTATTATTGTCATTATTATTATTATCATTTAAAAATACAAATTCTTTGAAGCGTTTCATTTTCTTTGTGTGTGTGTTTTTCCAATTTCCCTTTTCGTTTGTAATGGAAAGGGTGGTGGGGAGACTGCATTGATAAATGCTTGTTTAAATAATAAGCTTTCGCCATAAATGTAGCTTGTCGCCATTTAACACTTTTGAAAAAACGCAAACATTGTTAACACCAACATCGGGCTTGGCCCCCACCGCCCATTGTTGTTGACCATTTAACATATTTTTAACACGACAAACAATGTGGAAAAAAAAACATGTCGACATCTAATTAGAATACATGTGTGGAAATATGAAAATGGAAAAATGTGTTGGCATGGAAAAAGCGATTGCCGATAACTTTAATTAGCAGGAGAAGCGCAGAGGAAGGAGAATGACACGGATGTTGTAATTGTAATAACACTAATGCAATTGCAACACCTAGCTAGAGGCTAGTTTACACATCATATCGAGAGTCGAATGCAATGAATAACACTGTGATGATCTTAATTTTCATATCCTCCACCATAGTATGTAGATTATATTAAGTTTGTCATTCCGTTTGTAACACCTCGAAATATACATTTTAAACCCCACAAAGCGTATATATTGTTGATCAGCATACAATTCTATGTCGATTTAGCTATGCCCGTCCGTCTGTCCATCTGTGGAAATCACTCTAGCTTCCGAACGAAATGAAGTAGATTCTTAAAATTTTACTTAAATTTATATTATGTCTGCAGGACTTTTGGTATTGAAAATGTGCCATGTAGGTCCACGTCTTCGTATAGCCCCCATATAACGGTACCTCCCGATATGCGGTATTTTTATGTTTTTGGCGACGTTATTTACCAGAAGTTTTTCAAAATTGGTATTTAAAGTTCGTAATTGATACTACGGCTTACGACAGAAAATGGGCCATGTAGGTCCACGTCTTCATATATATAATTATTTTAGCGACATTATTCACTGGAATTGTTTCAAATTTGGTATTTGAAGTTCGTAATGGGTACTACAGCCTAGACAGAAAATTGTCTGTGCAGGCTCACGTCTTCGTATATCCCTCATATAACGGTACCTCCGGATATTCGGTATTTTGATGATTTTAGCGTCATTATTCACATAAAACGTTTCACATTTGGTATTTGGAGTTCGTAATTGGTACTACAGCCTATGACAGAAAATTGTCTGAGCAGGTCCACGTCTTCCTATAACGGTAACTCCCAATATTCGGTATTTTGATTATTTTAGCGACGTTATTCACCGGAATTGTTTTAAATTTGGTATTTGAAGTTCGTAACGGATACTACAGCCTATGGCAGAAAATTGTCTGTGGAGGTCCACGTCTTCGTGTAGCCCCCATATAAGGGATCCTACCTTTATTCGGTATTTTGATGATTTTAGTGACATTATTCACCGAAATTGTTTCAAATTTGGTGTGTGAAGTTCGTAATGGGTACTACAGTCTATGACAGAAAATGGTCTGTGCAGGTCCACGTCTCCGTATAGCCCCAAAATAACGGTACCTCCCTATATACGGTATTTTGATGATTTTAGCTATATTATCACCAATTTTTTTATTTAAGTTTCGCATTTGAATTTAGTAATGGTTTATGACAAAAGTTGCCTATGCAGGTCCAAGTGGTCGTATAGACCCTAATATAACGGCTACATTTTGTATTTTTATAATTTTAACAGAATTTTTAACGAATTTTATTTTATGTTTTTTGTCAAAATTGCCAAAATCGTTCCAAGTGGTGGAGGGCATTCAAAGATCGGCCCGGCCGAGCAGCTTTTTGATCATTTGTTATTTTGTTTGATCATTTTTTCGCATCATCCTCCTACAAAATATATTTTTAGGAGGGTGACCTCAAAGACAAAATTATTCTTAATCCGATTGTACTATAAGTCACCAAGGATAAGAAATCTCTAGTTGCATTTTGTATCAAGAAAATATCCGCATCAATGTTGGCAAAAATCCTGAAAATATTTCATAATTTTTTGATAACTTTTTCTTGGGCTCAGCCGTACTTCATATGAGTTTCCGCAAAGTACTCCTACAGAACAACATTTAAGAAGGATATTATCGAGGACAAAAATATTCTTCATCAAATTTTACTATAAGTCATCAAAGAAAGGAAATCTGGATATCTATTATTTATAAAAAAATATCCAAATCAATGTTGGCAAAAAACGCAAAAATATTAAAAAAAATTTTGCTCAATTTTTCTGGGCCCCTGCCATACCTCATATTTCTTGAAATATGATGGAGATAGGGATTTCTTGTCTTTAGTGACTTATAGTAGAATTTGATGAGGAATAATGTTGTCTTTGACATCATCCGTCCAAAATAATATTTTCTTGGAGCATTTTTTGCAAACTCACATAAAGTATGGCAGGGGCCTAGATAAATAAATCGAAAAATTATGAAATTTTCAATATGCCAATGCCAAATTTTGTGATACCTATCGGAAATAGAGATTTCTTTTCTCTGGAAACTTATAGAGAAATTTGATGTAGAAAATTTTTGTCTTTTTTTGCCTTCCTTCTAAACTGATGTTTTGTTGGATATTTTTGCATAAATTCGCATGAAGTACTACTTTAACCCTAAGATGTGTTTTTTATATATATGAATTCCTGGCGATTAGGTCAGTTTTAGACTTTTGACTTCTTTGGGGACCTACAGTAGAATTTTATGCTTCACAATTTTGTGGGATATTTTAATATGGTACGGATCCGTTTGGAGGTGGTTTTTTACCATATTTCCAAAAAATGACCAAAAAGACCACTTTGTTGACTCGATTGAAGGTTAACATTTTTGACCCCGTATTTTTATCTACAACATTGCCAAAGACATCAATTACATAAAATCGACGGATTCCAAGGTATCTTAATCCGAAAATTCCATTAAATTCAGTTTAGGCTCTTCTGCATAAATTCACAGGTGTCTTCTAGTTTTAGCTCCACTTCCATAAAGATTATGGTATTTTCTCTGTAATTAATATAAATTGAGTTTTGTCGCACAGTGTAATTATAATAATAAACGCCGTTACAGGTGTCTCCTAGTTTTAGTTCTACTTTCATAATCTTCCGGATTTTCCCTGTAATTATTAAAAAAATTGAATTTTGTCGCACAGTGTAATTATAATAATAAACGATTGTAACACATTGTAAACTCCAAATTACTTTACAAAACATTTGCCTTTAACAAATTATTTCATAAAAAAAACATTAATTATTGTACAACGCAATCAATTACTTATGGCTCAGTTAATATCCAGCTGTTTTTTTCTCTTTAAACATTGGCGGTTTTTCGATTTACGAAAAAAATCCAGTCATACACTTTCACACGTAACCAATTTTTGCCGGTTTGTTTGAACACATTCTCAGCGTCGACGACGACGGCATCGTCTCTATGTCAGTGGCAGAGGCGGCGGCTCGCTGTCCTCTTTTTGGGATACAATCACTTCCAACATTGTGTCTCAACTCACATTGTAGTTTCCTACCCATCGGAATGATTCATCAACGATTCGATGGAAAGAAATCACTTTGTATTTTCCGAATCTGTGTGTTTTGGGAATTTCTGTGTGCGTTTGTGTGTTTGTGTGGTACTACACTATTCATTAAATTGTTTAGACAGACCAGTCCAGTCAATCCATTCCGCTGCACACATCGAAAGTCAAATAAAAAAAACGGATCATAAATAAACAAAACCACATTGACATCTTCAAATCAAATCATGAGAAGCAGAAGTAGAAGAAGAATTTATATGCAAATGGGTATTTCACCATACAATGTAAACATGGATATTGGAAGAAAGAAAGCCACAATTTCCCAAGACATGAAAAAGTCATTGACTTTGTCCTCGTGATCAAATGACTGCTCTACATAATTTTATTGGAATTCCGAAACAAAGGTAGATATCTCAATCCATCATCGGCTTACAACACGAATTCAGGTTATGACAAATGACTCATAAAAGTGAGGTGTCTGTCTCCTTGACATGTTATCGTTATCTGTTTTGCAGTTTTGCAAATCATTGAACTTGTTTTAAAAAAGGGAGGAGGGAATACCAGTAAAGAAAGTTTTATATTCGGCTGGGTAGAATATTTGTAAATCTTCACCTGGTGAAAATTTCACTTATGGCTAAATCGAAGGCTATCCTCAAAATCCCAAGAATTTCGGAAGTTTCGCTACATTGAATATATTGTGAGAGGAGTTAAACTAGCCATCTATTTGAGTTGGACATTAGGGTCGGAACTTTCAAAGTGCCAGAAATCAAAGGCTATATATAAGTAAACCTGTTACTTAGGCGAAAAGCAATCCTACTCACTAAAAATCCGATATTCCAAATTTAGTTATAATTTGGAAATTAGGACCCAATCCTGCAACCTACCGAAAATCAGGAGGAATACTTATATGGGGCTAGAAGTTAATCTTCCCACAAGAATTACAGCTGATTTGGTTGAAATTAGGAGCCAAAACCAGAAATCTCTAAAAAAACTCCAAAAATTAGGAGTTGTCGTTATATGGGGCTATTGTAGGGAGGTCTTAAAATACCCTCACAATGACGAGGTGCGCATTATTTGGTCGGAAAACCTTGTTCACGCCAAAAATTCAGAGGGTAACGTTTATATCGGCCTAAATCAAATAGTGGGCCCATAAAAAGCCCGATATACCAGCTGCAAAAACCGTCAGGAGGTACAGTTATATGGGGCCATATCGGTATTAATTGCATATTGTTTTCTTAGTACTAAATGTAATC